ATTTCAGCATGGTTGCAGCATAATATATGCAAAAGCAAGAAAGATTCCAACTAAAAATTGAGATGCTCAGAAATGTCCTCAAAAATGTCTGACCCAATGGTCATTATTCATAAGCAAACGTTCCATGAGCTACACAAATTCAGTTTTTAGGGCAAAGCATAATACTTTGGGTTTGTGCCTTGACTAACATTTTGAATTGTTTCTCGTGGTCGTAGTATATGCTATCCTTAGCATTATACCAGAAGAACGGCGCTTTACGTGCAGGATGACTGTTGTCTCAGTGCTGCTGCAGGCATTCCTCTTATTAGAGGGTGCATGACTCATTGATCAAAGAAATTTTCACAAAGGTGCTAGGAGAAAGTAGCCAGATCAAAGGCACACATCACTCTACTGAAAATCATGCAGTCTGAATTACTTCTGTTTCCGAAAGCTAGCTCACGGTGAGAGGGGGGATACGGGGGGTGTCAGCCTACTGTCAATCAAAGAGCTTCAGCAATTTCAACACACAATCACACAGTGAACTCTTTACAGCCAAATTACTGGTTCAAACCTGTCTGATGCTTCATGAAATACCAGTATAATGATAACAGTCCATATCCCTATACCAATCTGTTCAGTTTTATAATGTAGAGAAGAATCTCAGGCTGCCGGTGGCCTTTTTGTTTTCTCTATAGTTCCCCCTTTGCCTTTTTACAATATATTTCATATCCTTAATTTTAATACAGCGCTGCATGGTGCCCTGATGGCAACACCTTAATGGCTCTTCAGAAAGCCCCGCTTTGTTTCTTTGTACAGAGACAGGGAACTCCAGAACAAGGAAGGGGTTTTTTTGGTTTGGTTTTCTTGGTTTTTACACTTAAGGGCAAGGAGATCCAAGACCTGAGTGTCATTTTGCTCAGAAGCATGGTGGGGAAGTACGGCAAAGGGCCAAGAGATGGATTCCATGGACTATGAAGGCTCAGAATCAGCATTAAAATAGGGAACCGATAGCTGACTAGTAGCCTCAGAGCAATGTCAGTAAACAGATAATGCATCCTGGATAACATGCAAGTGCAGCAAGGTATCTGCCAAAGTAATTATGACCCAGGCATGATCACGCAACCATTATTAAGGGCAACTTACTGCAGAATTAACTTCATGCTGAGTCTGACAGGAGTATAATTAGTAGTTCATCACCTGTGTTGTATTAAGGGCATGCAACATGGGATGCAAATTGTTCTCTCTGTGTAACCGGTTTAGAATGAAATAAGACCATTCAGATCATCAAGTTCTTTGTGAATGCAGGGAGTTTGTCAGTCTTTTGACATCGTTGTTTGTACCAAATCTCCAGATCTTTACACATGTATGTATATATATATATGAGTGCATATACATGCTTATGGAGAAATCATGGTTTCAGTTGGTGCAAATAAGGTACCTAGAGGTATCACAAAAATTGCTTGTTTTCCTCTTGAAGAGCCAGTGACGAAGGAAAAAAAAATAATCTTCCATTCACTATCCCAGGTTGTGATTCCAAACTGTGGGGTGCTCAACATGAGAAGGGCTTTCTGTGTCAGTCACATGCCATCTTATGGGGCCTGTACAGTGCTTGCAGTGTAGCAGCGGCCCTCGCTGCTTTCCATCTCTGGCTTTTACAGTTGTTTTAGATGGATTTTGAAAGCCACAAAACAGATGTATTGCCCTGTATTTAAAATAGTAGAAAATGCTTCAAAAACCACATAAAGATTGAAGAGGAGGGGCCCACTCACATTTTTTTTTGAGTCTGTCATGCTGTGTGGCAAGAGAATCAGTTGCACAGCAGTGATTTAGAAATTGACCTGGCATTCTAGATAGCAAGATAAGATGCTGTTTCATTTCAGCACCTGAACATGCATCAGATCCTTCAGGTCTTTCTAACATTGCAGACTTGGATCTAAAACCTCCTAAAAGATCAGTCTGAAAGGAAAATCAGAAGTCCCAAAGTATTATGTTACAAATGTGTTGGCCTGTAATTACGTTTGAAAGTTTTCTAAGTACTTTTAGAAGTGTTAATGTGAATATCTCTAACTGTCATTTAATAGAAGAGCAATGTTCTACCTATCAGAAAGAAGACTATCTGGTACTGCCATGTCTGAGAGAGCACACAGCAATCCAAGAATTACCTGGCTTTTGTTTTCTTCAATAACTCTTAGCCACAGGATCCTTTTTCAAAATCCTGTTCTTGAGTAGGTGCGTGTGTGCGTGAGTTGTTTAGATATTAGTTCCAGGATGTTTAACAGTAGGACTGTTTGGAAGATACCAAAAGGATACTCTCCGTCAACGTTTAAACACAGTTATCATTAAGAATGATTATATTTTTGGTGGTGCAGACACTCCTGTGGCCAACTGCTTATGTGCTTTATAGGTGAGGTAGAGCATGGATCCAGTTAAGAGCACCACGCAGACATCATTGCATGCAGTCCTTGGCATCATTGCTGCAATGCCTAGTCAGGTTATCTGTTAGGCTAATTCTGCTCACATTGTTTTTCTTGTGCTTACTACCACTTGGGTGAGGCAGAAATGTCTAAATTTACTCCACTCTTCCCCCAAATACCCAGCAGAACTCAAGACTAGCAGTGACTCTGAAGCTGAACTGTTTGATTAGGAGCTCCTGGTTAGCTACTTTCTGTTCCATGAAAAGCCTTTTTCAAGCACTCCATGAGGTGCTATAGTATAATCTACTTTAATTTTCCAGGTGAGAAGCCGCACAGATGCCATTTGTGTCCCTTTGCATCCGCTTACGAACGTCATCTGGAAGCTCACATGCGATCGCATACTGGTGAAAAACCATACAAATGTGAATTGTGTTCCTTTCGCTGCAGTGACAGAAGCAACTTATCTCACCACCGCAGGCGCAAACATAAAATGGTGCCTATCAAGGGTACAAGGTCTTCCCTAAGCAGCAAGAAAATGTGGGGGGTTTTGCAGAAGAAGACCAGCAATTTGGGGTACAGCAGAAGAGCATTAATTAATTTGAGTCCACCTTCCATGGTGGTTCAGAAACCAGACTACCTTAATGATTTCACTCATGAAATCCCAAATATCCAGACTGAAGCATATGAGAGCATGACAAAAACAACCCAGAGTAGTGGGTTGCCACGAGATCCACAGGACCTTATGGTAGATAATCCTTTAAACCAGCTCTCTACGTTAGCTGGACAGTTATCTAGCTTGCCACCTGAAAACCAAAATCCAGCCTCTCCTGACGTCGTTTCCTGCCAAGATGAAAAGCCTTTCATGATACAGCAGCCTGCTGCACCTGCAGTAGTTTCAGCTGTGTCAGCAAATATCCCTCAAAGTTCATCTCCAACCAGCCCAGATCCGCGGCCTACACACAATCAAAGGAACTATAGTCCCGTGGCAGGTCCCAGCAGTGATCGCAGTGCCCACACCAGTACTCCCAGCATAAGTAACAGTCAACCAAGCACTCCGGCTCCCACCCTTCCGGTTCAGGACCCTCAGCTTCTGCATCACTGCCAACACTGTGACATGTACTTTGCGGACAATATCCTTTATACGATTCACATGGGATGTCATGGATTTGAAAATCCTTTCCAGTGCAACATATGTGGGTGTAAGTGTAAAAATAAGTATGACTTTGCTTGCCATTTTGCAAGAGGCCAACATAGTCAACATTGACTGAGAACACGCTTTCGTTTAGTTTTTTAACATATTACAGTATATTTTTCATACTTGCTGAAGGAAAGCCTGCACATTCCCATAAGGAATATTCATATGAATCAATTCGACAAAGGAGGCAAATTTATTTGTATGTTGTCGTAAAACTTGCCAGGGAAATTTTGTATAAGATGTGGTGGTTATTTTATATGTAGCCTTTCAAAAAAGCTGAGAGAGTGCTGTAAGAGATGGAATGCATTTACATGCTTTCGTTGCAAAATTTAAGTTGCACTTAATCCCAATAAACATTCTACAAATGTAGAAGCAGAGCGCGTGTCCTGAAGCATAGGATGCAATTATCAGACTATTTACTAGGCAAGACAAAAATATATTAACCATAAAATATGAAAGGTTAATGCAATGACACACATGGTTTCTTTGGAGACGTACTTATCCTTAAAAATTTAGGTACTCTAAACTGGGAAAACAAACAGAAACAACTTTCACATACAAATACAATTTGATGTAAAACTTGTTTTAATCTGATAAAGGTTAATAATAAGCTTTTGCTTAGTATAGTCTAAAACTTCATGCTAGGGCTCAAACACTAATTTAACTGTTATTTTTAAAACTCATCACAAAACTAGAAGAGAACAGGTTATTGTGAATGAAACTCTGGTAGGAAAAAAGAGTGAGTTAAAAGCTTGTCTTTCACTAGTTACAAAAAGGAAAAATTAAACATGACACCTTATTTTAAACTACACTTACCAAAATTTTACACGTCGTTCTTTTTAAAATGAGGTGATTTTTAAACAGTCATAATAAAGAGCTTGTAGAACTAATATATATTCCATGAGATTTTTAACTGCCTTAAACTAATTTGTACAGATATTTAAAATTTGCACAATTAGACTTCTGTCTTGCTGATAGAAGTTCTAATAGAAACAAACAAGAGGTTTACAAATTAAAAATAATTTGTTCAGTTTTATCTCGGGCCAAGCTACAGCTGATAGGTTGCCTGTATGTTTGAAAGTTGAATATCTAGTTTATTGTAATCTTCAGTGAACTTGGAAGTTGGTTTGTCTTGTCCCCTCCGCCAGATTTGTTGTCTTTTTGGTGTGCTAGAAATCAGGGGAAGGGCTTCTGGGTTTTCTGAACTGTTCGTGTAGGAGACGGGCAAAGGAATACTGGCTGACGACATTTGAAGTCATTGTGATGAAGAATTGTAGGTGGCAAGTGGTAACTAAAGATGTACATAAAGTCATTGCACATGGGTTTTTTTTGTTTTTTATACTGTACATCTTACTTTAGAAGCACCTAGGCGGACAGGCACTTTAATATAAACCTAAATAAAACATCTTGGCAAGATTAATAAAAGCTCTTAATGTGCTACAGAGGAATTTGTAATGTTTCAAAAAGTGAGGAACTGTTACTTTTCCCATACTTAGACATGCACTTTTACCTTAGTTTGTCTTACTTAAGGCAAATTAAAGCTTCCCTTACGTATTCTCCTTTTACTATCAGCAAAATATGGCAGCAAATATGTTTTGTTAAAAGTGGGAAGATTTTATTAATGTTCTGCAAGTCAGAGGTTGGAATCAGAATAGCAAATGTTTGGCTTATTCAAATTTATACTGTTATAGGAGCTAAAGCTTCCTGAAGCCAATGGAAAAACTTAAAATGACTTCAGTGTAAGGTCAATGCAGGAAAAACCACCCTTCTGAGAATTTTAACTTTAGAAGTAATTTTTACTTTAATGAATTCAGAATTTGGGAACCGAATATGTTTCTCTCTACCTAACTTACCTGCTGTTGAATTTTCTGTGCTTAAGTAACCTGTTGAAGGAACTGGATTCTTGGCTGCACGTAGTCTTGTAGTAACGAGGTCAAAAATACGCTGTTGAAGTATCTCCAATGTAGTGAAGATGAATGGTAACACACTATCACTCCTAAAAATGTTTTTTGTTTCAGGCCTCGTGGCCTGAAATCCATTTCAGTGGATTTGTACAACAGAATGTAATTCCCATTTTTCATAACGGCACTCTTTATAATGCCAAAATAGCTCTTTGTTGCTTTATACTTTTAAAATTTATTTTATAAGCAAAGGAGCAACTCTGTATGCATAAACATAGAGTGTCCTTTATTTTAAGGACTAAAAATTGACTGAACTGGAATCCAGTTGGAAGTTACTGCTCCTGTACAGGTTTTGTAACATGATGCTTCCAGTCAAAGAATAATGTAGAAATGATAGTGCATCACATATCAATGCATTCTAAAAATCTAAATTTGGCTAAAATACTATACTAGAACTACAAACGTCACTGTTAAACACATTACATTAAACTTTACAGTTAGTAATTTATAGAGGTAATTTTCCTTTTGATAGATGATGTAAACTTTTATTCCTAGGCTCTAGCAATGCCAAGGAAACTTCTGGAACGGTGGTGCTCCAAGGAGCACCTTCCAATCCTGAATGGTGCCGATCACAGCAGCCAAGTTCTCCTTGGTGCGTGGCTCCAGCCTTTCTCCCTTAACTCCAGCGTGCACAAATGTTAGAGATTTCATCCTTTCGTTCTGTTTACGCGGTTTCTGATCCATTAGGACTTTCATTGGCAGTGCCTGTAAACGTTACACTCTTGTCTTTTTGTGTTGGCTCACGGCTTGACGATTTAGAAAAAGGACTTCTGAACTGTGGTGCCCCTGAACAAAATTTTAGGTAGGAGTATAGTTAGGTCCCTCACAGAGGGAGCTGGTAGCAAGAGGAAGCCTGCATGATCTTAGTGAAAAGGGGCTCTCCTTGAGGAGGGGATCTTCTTTTGCAGGGAAACGTATGTTCTTAATAATAGAACTCGGTATGAAAAAAAAACCTAACCCCAAACCTTGCAAATTGTTGTTTAGAAGTATTTTAATACTGGTGACTTAATACCGTTGTTTCTGCTTCAAAGTATCGAAGGAAAAGAAAATTAGCTTTAACATCTATGAACCATTGAACAACGATAAAACTATTTTCCCTTCTTTCCTTGTGCAAGCTCCCATTTGCAGGGGGTTTTTTAGGTGGCAGCAGGCTTTAGTCTTCATCCCTCAATTCTGCCACCAGGTCCATGGGGTGGATCCCTGCGAACTAACTAGTCCTCCACAGAGGTTCACCCTCTGGACAAGGATTCTTTTCAACACAATACCGTGTGTTCAGTTGTGCCAAACTGTACCCTGACTATACCTGTTTCCTTCTGTCTGCTGAGTAGGTTTGGAAGGTTTATTTTCATATTCGTTTTTCATAATATTGTACGTACTATTTACTATAATTTAAAGACCAGACTTAGTACTGGAAAGTTGTTTTAGAGTACGATCCTGACGATTCCCTTGCACAAGCAGGCCTTACTCAGAGTCGATTTGGGATACTTGTCAGGAATTGTGGGATCGAGTCCTCGGTTAGTAGGACTTTTCATGTTGAGTTCTCTAGGTGCTACACTGCACTAACTTGGTTTTTAAAAAAACCCAAATCCTTATATTATAAGGTGGTGATCAGCATTTTAACTTTATTAACAGGGAAGTTTGGGAATGAGCTGAAATTTTTCCATAGCTTGACTCTGTTAAGTTCTGTAGTTGCAAAACATTAACTTTGTGGGGTTTTTTATTGTAATAGGCTATTTTATAGATTTGTTGACATTTTTAACATGCACTATTTATAGTAACTCTTAATACAGACTTATTGAGACTGAATATTCCAATGAACATGCAAAAGTATTAGACTGAAGATCTTCGTAGATTATCTCAGTTAATACTTAAACCAACTGTGAAGCAGCTAATAGGGAAAAAATAGTTGTTTTTTTCACAGATACAATGTTTAGATGAAGAGGATTTTGACATAAAATGTTGATTGGCATTTTAACATAAAACTCAGTGCTGGAAGACACGTTCCAAGAGTGTTTCCTAGCAAAACGATCTGTTGCTATTAGTTTTGTTCTGGAATGTTTTGGGGGTTTGCCTGTTTGGTTTTTATTTCTTTTTGACGAAGGGAATGTAATTTAGAAGTCTTCACTGGCAAGTTTTCTATTAATTTTAAGCTTCTTTGAAAATCTACGGCAAATGGATGTTCTGCTGCAGGAAATCTATTCCCTGCTGAAGCATTTTTCATTGAGCAATCTTTGTGTATGTGCTTCTAAGTACCTGCTTTGTTAATAATATGTATTTCAGTGTAAAGAGCATATTTTGTATGCAAAAATGAAACCTGTTAGAGTTGTAAAAATAAATTTTATTGTGTAGTGAATGTTTTCAGATGACAAGGTTAATTCTGAAATAACTCGACTATATCTAGTGTAGTTCATGTCGTGAAGCTTTGCTTTTTGTAAGATATGAATAAAATAACTTTCTAATTAAGTCTCATGTTAATTCTTAATTGAGCATGCTTCAACAGGTGGAAGTGGTGAACTGCTCATGACTAGCTGTGGTCTAGATATGGTAAGGAAGATAAGCTTACCCTTTGGGTAAGCAAAGAACATGGTATTTATGTTTCAGTCTGCTTAATTTGAAAACAATTGATTTTAGAGGTGAACCAAGACACTCTCTCTAACTCCTTTTCACTGTTAATTTTTCACATTTGGTCATTTTCCAAGTAAGTACTTTGTTTCTTCATACTCATATTTCATTATCAAAAGTGCTTGTATGTCTGAAATCAGAGGTCTTACCAGGGTAAGGTGGTTGTTACCGCATACGGAACTTCTGTGTACGTTTTTACCAACTCTGAAGCAGCACCAAACTTTATCCTACATGAGTGCATATGTGCTTGCAACTCTCCACACCCTTACTTTATCTGCATCTCATGTTTCTTGTTCTTTGCAAAGCTTCTGTTTGAGTCAAGCAGAGAAACCAAGAGCCTGACCTAAAAAAGGGACTTGGGGAAACTAAAGCAGGATTTGGGTGGAACTCCGGTGCTGACATCTCTACTTTAGGCACTGTGATTTATCATCAACCCACCTCATGCTCGAAATGCTGAACTCCCATCTCGCTACTTACACCTTCCCAGGCATGTATTCTCTGGAAGCACTCCGCTACACCTGTGACAGAGCAGAGCAGGTCACCACCCACGGTGCTCTCCAGAACCTCAGCTAGAGGCGGCTCCAGAAGAGCTGATCCAGCTTGGAGTCAGTCCCGCTGTAGGCAAGGAACAGAAGTGGAGGACTTCCAGGTGTTCCTCCTAGACTAATGTTTTCTGTGATTGTGAGATGTAACATCTAAGGATGGTTTGTTGTTGGCTTGATCTTCAAAGTCAAGTGCAGTCCAGTAGACCGTATTTCTGTCCCACAGTAACGGGACAGGAGGT